GGGGGAACACACAACTTTTATCCATGAAACAAAGGCTTGTTGGGATTCTGGCTGGGAAACAACAGATCAGTGGTCTTCTTTTGATGTTACATGGGGGCACGTGAGGGCTTGTGGTTAGTTCAGCTGTAGTCCTCAAAGCGTGGCCCGAGTTCGAATCCGAGCTGTGGATTCTTTCCCGCATGTCATTCCCCATTCTCTCGCTCCCCAATGTCCGACTCTACCCACTGTCCTGTTTCTCCAATAAAGACACAAAAAGCACCAAAAAAAATAAATCTCGGGAAAGATAGTGACATTACATGTTACTTACATGCTTGAGTTAGTTTTTCCTAAATAAAGCCAAGTTTGTTTTGGGCCTATATGTGACTGTATTGTGTGCTTTTGCATTTTTACACACGTGTTGATGATTGTTCCATTCCAACTGTTGAAAAAAAACAAGAAAAACCACAAGCGTTGTTATTAAAATCTAATTTCATTATCTGTTATTTCCAATGTAACTTTTTGTTCTGTAGTGTAACAGGGCTTTGCTTAATTTTAGTTGCCACTATGAATGCAGAGCCTTACATTGACATTATGACATACCTACATCTTTCTATTTTCGATTGTCAAATTTGAAGAAGCATTAGAAATGAACTGTAATAATCTGTATATGCAATCAACCTCAAAAATAAAACCAAATATTATGTTTTCAGTTCAGATAAGGTCAGGCATAAGAGTTCCTTTACTGTAAGTGATGTAGACGTGTATGAGTGTGAATCACATCAATACCCGCAGTTGTGAGCTGGAAGAAAAGGGCATAAAGAAGAGTTATGGCTATATCTCCTAGTGTCTCTGTCTCTGAGGGAGCAGCTATGTAAGAGAGACCTTTTAGTGCTGACACATGCCTGAGTGCCTTTAAGGTTGCGGCGAGAAGATGCTATGTTTCTGAGGTATGACTGCTGGTACAAACTCTCCTGAGCAAACTACGGCAGAGATAATGGGGACTGCTGCCCTGCTGAATCTTCACATGCTGGTCTGAAACTCAGGTTTGTCCAGATTGTGGTATAGCTACGAGGGTAAGAAGCTTGTAATGTTTATCTTGAAATGCCATGCACAGACTGTCCTCTATATGCGGCCCTCAGGAGTCGATTCATATTTGCACCATTTAGGTGTGATTGATTTGCCACTCAGGGTACACCTGCAGCAGTCTGAGATGGTCTCTGCTTTACTCAGAGAGATGTTGGTTTTACAGATGTATCACAGAGATATGCATTTGTCAATAACATGGATTTGAACATATTCTCAGCAGTGGCAAAAAACCTAGGTGAAGGAATGTGTGTGTGTGTGTGTTGGCACCTTATGAGGTATAGTGTAAATGTGTTACATTAAGGTATTGCATTCTTTGTATGCAGCGTGCAGCGTGTAACAAATTGATATACATTACAGTGAGGATATGAAAGCACAAGAACTTAAATCACAATTGTTTGATACTGACAGTATCTGGGACAATTGTTGTTTAAGTGCATTTGGTGTGTGATGTGACCCATGTAATTTGGGGCGGCAGTATCCCAGTCTGTAGGGATTTGGATTGGGAACCAGAGGGTCGCCAGTTCAAGTCCCTGGTTGGCCTGGTAGCTGGAGAGGTGCCAGTTCACTTCCTGAGCACTGCCAACGTACCCTTGAGCAAGGCACATAACCCACCAGCTCAGGAGCACTCACTATGGGCAGTCCCCTCACTCTGACATCTCTCCATTAGTGCTTGTTTAAGATCCTGTTTGTGCATGTGTGTGTGTAGCATGGACAAATACCAGTGTAAAATTGAATTTCCCATCTCTGGATTATTAATAATGTATATCTTCTGTTGCCAGATTAGAAATCACAGGATATTACACAAGTATTTTACACTTAGAATACATACAGTAGGGTAATTTGTAATTTTTGTTGTTTATATCCATTTCTGTCAAGGTGGTTACTAACACAGCAGCACAGACCATTTATACAATCCACACAGTGTTTAGATTTTCACTCAAGACTAGCGTCACCAATTCACGTTGTTCCCTCTGCTCCTCTCTGGTTCTGATGAATAACAGCCAAGAACGTGTCTCTTCAAGACATTTTGATGTAAGGGGAAGTGGTTCTTTGACCCCTTGGGTCATGATTTTTCCTCTCCAGAATTCGTGCAGGAATTTGGAGTAATGGTCAAAAAGAGTTCTGATGCATGCAAGTGACCTTGACTGTTGACCTTTGACTCAAGAATGAAGTGGGTAGAACTTGGCTGTTGGAGTGGAAAATGTGTATAGAAATTCACACAAGTCATTCCAGAAATAAGCATTTAAGAAAATGCAACAGACAGCGGAGGCAATATGCCTTTAAAAATATATCCAAGGTGCATTGTTTGAAATGTTTAAGTTATGTGTGTTCGCTTTTACTGCTACAGTATATGTTGATGTGAAGTTGTAAATCAAAATTTTCAACAATGGACTGCTGATTGATGTACTTGCTTGGCATCAGAAGTCTGCTATCTTAAATCATTTCATTTTTAAATGTTTTCATTGTATTTTTCCACACTGTTTGCATTCATTTTTGAAGCTCTGTAACACCTCATGAAAATAGTGTAACAACAACTCAGATTTCTGATTATTTATTCAGAAATACAAAGTTTGGCCTTGTTCTCAGTCAAATAAAGGTATGCTGTATTTTTCATGGATAATAAAACTGATGTACCAGAATGAATAAACGAATGTCTCAATCATTCTTTTCCTTGCTTCATTTAATCACTAGAGACAGAATCAGAAAAGCAAACAGACCCTGAACATTGGGGGAAAATGTTTAAACTCAGTGACACTCTGATCTGCTGAAACGTGCAAACTTGTGCTCTGAGAAGACACCAGGGATACTTTACTAGAACAGATCTGAGATATCAGTTTGCTACTGAATCGAACTGACCTTTAATGAGTTATGGACACTGCTACAAGTCGAAGCTCCTTACAGATTAGAAAAATGATAAAATAATGTGTCAACATTATTTTTTGGTCTACGTGGGATACTGTTGTTGCTTGGCTAAAGCTTTGTTGTGGTTGTCTCCAAGAAACTTTATCATTGTCAGACGATTGGTGTTGGGATCCAGGTTTGTTGTTGCCTAGCTTCATTTCATACAATGCAGCAAACTACAACTTATTTTTGTTTTGACTTTAAGAAAAATAGGCATTGAGGTTTTAACATTGAGGTCTCTAACTGGAGCCGACATGAGTAAAACATAAAAAAAAGCCCCAACAACCACAGCAATATAGCAGTTATCATGTAACACCCAAATGTTGCCACAGAATGGCAACCAAATTAAATCTTTGAACCAACCCAATAACCATAAGGTATAGAAGCATCTTAGCAGTCAACTAGTAACAGCTATGCTCAACACCTAAGAAACAAAACAACCTCTTCAGAAAATGTAGCCTTGTTAGTTGTACTGGGAGGTTGCTTAGATACTAACACTAAAACAAATACAGAGAAATGTTCTAATTTAGAAGAGAATGTTTAATCAAAGTTTATTTCTGTTTTATGATTGCACTTACATTACTTGTGCATGTCTTTGGATACACAAGATGTTGCAGTTCATTGGAAACAACTCCTTGACTCAGTCTGCTTCAACCCCCTACCATGCTGTAAACTGACTTCCCTCATTTGAAAAAGAAAAAAAAATGTTTTATTTATTGCAGACAGAGACGAAATAATATTCAACAAAATTGGGTCATATCAAAGATGCATGACAATTAAATTCATTTAAATGTAAAAGGCAGATTGTGTAGCATTGTGCAACATGGTCTTTTTCCATCAGTCATCACCTGTTAGTGCAGGTAATGCTCTCATCTAGACTTAAATGTGTAAAATGAGCATGTGTGTTTCATTTTGTCAATCTATTTTCATTTGCACTTTCTCTAGCTCGAGGTCTACATAAGGAATCAAATATTGCAACTTCATGACTTAAGTTCCTTTCTTTAGTCTTCTCTTATTCTCTTCTACCCCCACCACCTCATTTGCTCCAGCCCTCTTTTTCCTCTCCATTGTCTTGATAAATGTTACATTGAGTATAAATGTTTTAGTGCCACATGCAAATTTGATGTGGACGCCACCATTCTCGTGTCTTTTTGGAGTTACAGTATGTGGGCCTAATTATGCCATGCGCAGTTAAACCTCTTCCCACTTTAATATCATGCTTAAGGGGGAAAGAGAAGAACACATAGAGAGAGAATAGTTGGGTGCCCATGCACATCCTTGCTGATTAGCAATGGGTGCATTTAGTGTTTGTCAGGAACCTTTAGGGTCTGAGTGGAGAAAAATCTGTGAAAAACAAAATAAAATATGCATAATGCTACTTTTGACAACATTTGACTGTTTGACGGTCTCGCTGGGTGAATCCAACAACATGCTCAACATCTGTCTCCATGTTCACGTGTGCGTGGCTTAGCAACATTTCCATCTTTATCTTGGTTTAAAGGGACAACACATGCTGATTTGTGCATTGCATAACCACCGTTTGCATTTTCTGAAATATGTTTAGCAGTATGCCCTACCCAGCACTTATGTATTTATTATCAGAAGATCACTGTGCCAACAATGACGGGAAAAGCCGCATATAAAATACAATATAAAATGTCTCAATACACATTCTTTTTAAACTTTCTTTTTTAGTGCGACTTTGTTAAAAATAATAATAATAATAATAATAATGTGTAAATTTAATCCAAACCTAAATAAATTCACCCAACTGAAATTTTGGGATTCAATTTAAATCAAGTATAGGCTCCTACTTTTCAATCCCGAAATTAGAGAATAAATCAAGTCAAGTATCACCATGAAGACAAGCTGTATAATTTTAATGTTCACAAACTTACACAAACAGACATGCATGAATGCACACGCAAACACAGGTGTCGCTTTTCCAGTGAGATGAATCTGCAGATGCAGCCTCCCCGCATTCGGCGCGCAGCGGCTGACGTCAGGAGCGGAGCGGAGTGAGAGGAGTTGAAATAGGGCAGAGCAGGAGTGGAGCGCGGAGAGGAAACCAGCCGGACCCAGCCGTAGGATGGCAAACCACCACTGCTGCTGATGCTGCTGCTGAGAGTTGGGACTCGCTACTACCTATAACTACTGATACACCAGCCTGCAATTAATCTGAAGCCTTTAAGCCTTGCTGAGCGGAGGAGGAGAGGAGTGGAGCTAAAGGAGTGCAGTTTGGACGCGTGCTGCGAGGAAATCTGTGGCATATTTGCTCAAATTTCCTTTCCTTTTGCCTCGGAATACCACAGGTAAGGTGGAGGAAGTATTTACTGATGCGCAACGAGGGCTTCAATGTTGCTTATAGGCTTTTTCATTATCATTTTTTTTTTTGTACAAGTTTGATTGTTTTTGGTGCATGACGCTTCTCTATCGTGACTGTTTGCATTTGAAGTGTGAGTGGTGCGAAACTGTGAAGAGGGTGGCAGTGGCGTGCTTTAATTTTGAATAAGTTTGTGAGTAGCGGAGGAGAAATGCATCAATAATATAGAGGCAGAATTTACAGCCTGAAATACATGCGTGAGGTGCAGGATTGTAGCACATGCAGGGCGATGTCAATGGCAATCTCTGACACTGTTTAACCACTCTGCCTGTTATGTCTATGCCTATTGTCTGGGTGTGATTAATCATGGCATATGACGAGATGCCAGCTTTGGTAACCTCACAGTACAGTAAAGGGACTAACGTACAAAAGGGCAGTGTTTGATTAACGGTTCAAGTAGGAAACCTCTGCCAGGTTTGCTCAAGCAAGCAGAGAGGGACCGAAATAATAACACAGTGAGACACGCACATCCCTCCTCGGGCTCTCTGGCACGCATTCCAGGTCCCTACACCTCCCACCCCTACACCCGCTCCTCCTTTACCGGCTGACAATTTATTAGGCTGTATGCCGGGACATCCTCATCTTTTAAAGACCAGTGTTTTATAAGAACCTCCCTCACCAGCATCCAACGAAAAGTCTCGAGAACATGTCTGGAGAGACATTCCTAAACAAGACGAGATTTCCTTATCTGATTGGGTCTAATGAGCTGCTTCAGCGCGCTCTCATGGGAGAATCCTCTCAGTGTCAGGAAAGAAGCTGGCACAGCGGCAGCAAAGCCTCCGTGACGGCCAGCGGAGTGGGAAATGAGGATTGGTTTGCGCGCACGCTGCCGTGATGTAGCGTTTTTATATTGCACCGGAGCTCTCCATGGTGCTGAAAACGCTCCTGCCTCCTCCTCCTCCTTCCCTATACTCCACTCTCTGGACTCTGTCTTTTTTTTTTTTTGGTTGCTTTGTTGGATTTCCTCCTTACCTGGAACCAGATACGTAGCAAACATCCAGCAGCAGAATTATGGCCATTCATCACTCTGATATCTGTGAAAAACCGGTTGTAAATCTTCAGCCCTTCAGCTTTGTGCTGGGCCAACAACACGTCCAACTCTCCAGTCTCACAGAAACACACAGACACATGCAAACACCACAGGCAAGCACATGCAGAGAGCTGGATCAATATATTAATGGCAGCAGTTCTCATCTGGACTTTTTTCAAACTGCTGAATCCTGTTTCTATACTCTTACATTTTATACAGCCTTAGGACACGAGACTAGTCATTCTTTGCTGGGGACAATAAACATAGCAAGCACGCTGACATCCAAAATACCATGATTTCTGGAATACAATAGATTTTCATGGAATAATTTGGCTTCCTTTAGCACACTCAAAAAAAAAAAAAAAAACAGGGGTGAAATGTGTGGTGATTTTATATTTTTCCATTTTGGTGACCCCCTGTTAGATGCTGTGGCAGTACCTCTCATCTCTATGCTGATCCAATTCTATTCACATAAGTTTTGTATTAAAAAAATAATTCTGTTTTCTTTTACAGTCAAAAGAATCACTAACTGGCTATCTTTGCCTTGGGAAATGTAAACAAAGGCTTAATTAGCTGCATGCTGTAAATCACCTAATCTGCACCAACCTCCTGGCATTGGTAATAGGAATAAATAAATAAAAATCTTCTTGCTGTTGGTTGCATTTGTTTTGCAGGTCAAATAAACTCATCCGTTTTGATTTCAATTTGTTTCATAGCCTGCTAAAAATAACCTTACAGGAGCTTTAAATACTGCTAAACAAAAACATACAGTGTATTTAATTTATTCCACATATACAATATATAACCTAGGGGTTACGGAGGTCAGAGTCCATTTTGGTTTTTCCGGTGGCACCATCATGTCAGAGCAGTTCTGCAACGCACCATGCGGTCACTGTCAGCCGGTTGAGAAATAATGATACAGCCTAGACTAGTGACTCAGCCGGGCTTTTTGCAGTTTGCAATCTGGTGTCTAATTTATTAGCTGTCTCGCAGACAGCCATTACCGCGCAGTGTCCAGCAGATTATGGCTGCTTGTTGGGCTTCAGAGACAGCCTAATAGTGGGATGAGTCACACACTTACAGATTGACGGCGAAGACACGCTGTAGGCACATCACCCTTTGCACAAACACACACACAGACAAAACATCAGTGTACCATTCTACTCATTAGAGTTGAGAATGGCTGCTGGGGTGCTCCCTTCCTGCTAGCCTCCAAAATGTGCATGAATGCATGTGTGCAGTTTGTCATGCATGTTGGTTGAATAATGCACACAATTTCAAGATAGCAAAAAAAAAATCCTCCGTGTGTAACCAGGTTGAGAAAATAATTTCCATTCTCCTCTGGTCTTGCATGATCGGCTATTCTCAGAGCAGCAATCTATTTAGCCATGTCTCCAGACAAGGATTTACACATATCAACATAAGCATGTAATTGACTTTCTGAGTGACACTGTTGGAACATAAGCTGTAGTCAGCTTTCCCTCTCCAATGAACAGTGTCACTACTGCCTTTGTTTTCACGTGTTAAGCTGATTGTATTTTGAGTTTCTGTAATAATTTGTTGGAGTGACTTTGAGTGTTAAAGCTAGACCAAAACAAGCTAAAACAAGAAATACATTATTCAATAATATGATAAATGTGGTACATTATTAATCTTAAGAGAGGCTTCGCTTGTGAGAGGTCAGAGGTGTGACTCAGCGACAGAACAGCAGAGAGGAGTTTAGTGTCTTGCTCCGGGACATTTCAGCTGAGTGAGTACTCAGTGACAGGAGAGGCTAAAAACAGGTCGTTTTGGTAAAAGCGCAGTCTCTCTACCCACTTGCACACTTGACTTCTCAGCTGCTCACAGATGCTAAACGCTGAAAAAAGAAATAGAAGCCTGTGTGCTGGAGATAGATGTAGAAAAATATTCACTGCCTGCCTTTCCTGCTTCAATACATAGCAAGAGCAAGAAAAACATGAATCTAACTATTTGAGGTATTGCAAATGGAACAACTTTCTTGCAGTACTACGGTGTAGTATTGGTACGCCTTACCGTGTGTGTGTGTGTGTGTGTGTGTGTGTGTAAAGATTGTTTGAAAGTTTCCTTACTAAGGTCCAGCAATAAGAAGACAGCAAAAAACTTGTATTTTTTCGTTGGTACATTTAGGTCTATTGGAGCTTGAACATGATGCAGGAAAAAGTCTAATTTTGTCGGTCACAGCTGTTGTTTCTGAACAAAGACTTCCAAAAAGGGTGGTATTTTAAACAACTGTATATCTTTAAAGCACATATGGACAGACCAACATCCAGAACACATCAGTTATTATACTTGTGGTAAAAATGTAGAGTTTCAGGTGGATAATTCACATGCATATGTTCCCAGCGGTATATCAATGGTTCTGTTTTCGCCTACACAAAGAGTACACTTGACCTGCCCTTTTTCTCCTATATTAGGAGGCACTGCAGGCACTGAACAATAGAACTGAAAAGAGCCCTGGATGACAATTTCATGTAACGCTTAAGTAGACTAAATTAAATGTTCCGTATCAATTACAATGCCCTGCTTGTGAACAATTTAAATCATTGGCATCACATCGCCTGAACCCCATGCAGAGCTCATCTAATCAGGAGCAAGATTTATTTCCACACCACAAAGCCTTCCCCTCGGGTGAACCGAACCCGCTTCCTTCCCCGCATCTTTTTTGTTTTGTTTTTTTATGCCTAGTGACTTTGATTTGTTTGGCTTTGCAAACCATTTTTTCAAATAAATGTAATGTGTGGTGCTTCCAAACAATTGTAAAAACAAGAAAATGCATTACAGATGGTGAGTCACACTCTTATTGGCTTCACACTCCCGTTCTGATGGGGCTGACGAGATTAGTTTGAAATTGAACTGATGAAAGTCTTTCTCCTGGGTTTGAGAGTGGGCACACTGACACTCAAACAAAATCGTATTCCTAATTTTTTTTTCATGATTAACATCAGACCTTTGACAATGAGAAGCACTTAATATGAATGACTCTGAAATTGAGGAGGACCAAAAGCTCGCATCATTAGCATCTGAATTCTTTTTATTCCAGAGACACATCACCGGATAACTCCGCTGTACTCCCTGAAGAGCGCCACAAAATGTTGGCATCACAGTTCACTTGAAATTCCGATCACTTATGTTGAACTTCTAAAAAATGACCTTTACGGCAGCATCCCATATGAACACCGCAGCTGAGCGCGGAGCATCAGTGGCGCGGCTTTGAGCAAACAGAGCTCTCTTCCTGCTCCGCCTGAACAGAGAGGCCTGACGAAAGAGTCAGCACAGAGGGAGAAATGCGTAGAGGGGTTAAGGAAAGGTCACCTAGCATATCTGTTTTCTGCAGTGAATTTAGTCAGCCATCTGCCTGTCCCTTTTATGCAGTCACTCCTCTCCGTGGTGCTCTTGCTCTGAGTTTTTCTTCTTATGTCACACTGGGAGAAGCGGTGTGATTCAAGGTTGTCTTGAATTGTTGCTTCACATATCACAGTCTAATTTCTCCACTTCACACACAAATATTCAACATTTCAAGTAGAAGGAATGATTTCAAGCCTCACTCATTAGCGATTACCTTTTTAAAGATGAAAATGCTTTTTTTTGTTACGCACAAGAAGAAAAGACATCTGAGACGCAGTAACTCTACGGGAATAAAGTACAAGCTTTAAAGAATTAAAGATCAGCTCCAATACGCACTGTAAAAGTCTTTGAGTTTAGATAAACTGTCACATATTCTGTCAAGGTCAGGAATGAGCTCTAATGCTCGAGTCTTTATATTAAAAGTGAACTTTTACATGATTCTACAATGTTTTAATGTTAAATAATACACTGAATAAATGTGTTGTTTGGCCTTATTTAAATTGAACATCCTGACTGAAAAGATCATGTGCTGT